TATTATCCAAAATTAATTCCTTACGTTATTTAAAAATTTTAAGTATTATTTTGAAATATTTATGTGTCTATTAAATATATAAGCATAAAAATATAATATATTATTAATTTTCGCATGAAAGTATGATGTTTATTCTTAGCTATTGATATTACCTAATTGTGTTTATTGAAATTTATGCTCAATTATTATTTTGTTGTTTTATTGAATAAAATTTACACCAGTACAGAAAAATTAAGTAAATGTATTTATAATTTATATTCTTAAGATTTATTTGACTAATAATCACGAAAGTGTTCTAAGATGATAAATTTAAGGAATGTAAATTATAATAAATAATTTATTATTTATTTTATATTTTTATTGATCTTTTAATCACAAAAGTGACTTCGATTAATAAATTTATAAAATTATATTAAAAAATAATCATAAATGATATTAAGAAATAATATTCATAAATAGTACCATAATTAAAAAATAAAGATAATCTCAAAAAATAGTCTTTTTCAATTAATTTTATGATGGGATAGGATAATACTATTAATACCATAATTATTATGTTTGAGTGAATACTATATATATCAATATTTCATATAAGGGAGAAATATAGATGATATCAATAGTTCATCAAAATATAATAACTCAAAATATTAATATTATTTTATATTTTATATTTTTAGTGATTTTTTATTTTTTATATACTCAAGCATCCGGTATCCTTGTTCTTCCAGGATTAAATTATTTAAAGTGGCTTGAGCATATATAGTTTACATTAAGAATATTAATATTAGATTTTAACCTTGCAATACCTATTGAAAGACGCATAAATGTCATTGATAATATCACTTTGGAATAAGTAAATGAAATGAACGTATCAACTTGATGTTTACAAGAATAATACTTGCAAATAATATCAAGACCTCATTACCACCGATAAATAGCACCATGGAATACTTAAGAGCTATTGAAAAATGTTTTAATATTACTAATAAATCAATATTTGGCACTCTAATGAAAGAACTGATTTTTCAACTCAATATAATGACACTAGAGGGTTAAAGAGACTAATTACATATTATCCCTTATAGTTAGCTACCTTTAGCATCTCAGTTTCTACACTTTAAAAAGTTATATCGACATCCTTATAGTTACGAAAGTAAAACATCTATGTTTATATACCATAATATTATTGATTTTACTAATAAAAATATGAAATAAATGATAAAAAAATAATTTAATATTTTAATTAGTGGTGACGGACGATGATGCCATTAAGGGTCATGGGTGATTGTGAATGAGGAGAGCAACGATGAGAGGTGAGAGCTGCTCTACATCTATGTCGATATCGATGTCGACGTAGATGTAAAGTGATGAAGGGGTTGCTCAATAACTACATTGATAATGGGTATAATGACGTTCTCAACATCAAATTCTGTGACCCACATTTTTCTACCATCATCAGATATGTCAGCCTGGAGCTTAATAATCACTCGTCGACCAGCCTTCTAGAACTTCCCTTTCTGTTCGACAATAACTATGGTGAATATAGCTCATCCTTCGGTGAGCCTCCCATCTCCCCTTTTTCATACCCATGTTAAAACTGACATGGTAGTGAGGGGAGTGGTAAGAGCTCCGACAACCCCAGTTTCGGGTCAAGCAAATTGTCTAATAGGTCAATAGCGAGACGACTACCATCTTCACCATAGACGTCATGGTAGCCACCAACATATGTCAATGCCGATATAGTTACCAAGTGACGAAAGGATCGTTTGGCATTTGCATTAGCATCGATGTAGATGTAGAGTGACATTGATATAATTGCCAAGCTGCATCATTGACTCGTTGGGCAGATCGCTCAACCTGAAGCTGGGGTCACTATAGCTTCTACCGCTCCTCTCACTACCATGTCAATTTCGGCATGGGCATGAAAAAGGGGAGATATGAGGCCCATCAAAAGAGTTATATTCGTCGTGGTTATCATCGACCGGGAAGGGAAGCTCTGGAAGGCGAGTGGTTGTCGAGCTCGTGGCGAATGTATCTGACAGTAGTAGAAAAAATATGAGTCTTGGAATTTGACACTAAGTACACCATGGTATTTGTCATTGATGTAGTTGCCGAGTGACTCTTTTGTCGCTTTGCATCTGTATCGATATTAATACAGGTAGAGTGGCCCTCACCTCTCATCGACGTTCTCCTCATCCACAATAACCACCCATATTTCCCAATAGTGTTATCGTTTACCACCACTGACTTCGTCCGTCGCCACCACTGACTTCGTCCGTCGTCACCAACGTTAAAATTATCTTTTTATCCTTTATTTTTATGTTTCTATTGGTAAAACAAATGGTGTTAGAGTAAATGAATAGATGTTTCACTTTCATAATTATAGAGATGCCAACGTAACTTTTTAAAGTATAAAGACTGTGATATTAAATGTAGCTAACTACAAGAGATAATATGTAATTTGCTCAGATTAAAGATTATATCATCTGTATGATTGATAAAGCTACTAAACTCAATATCTTAGGCATGAATATTAATGAGCATTTTCTCATGCAATTTATTCTTAATTAACTTCCTTCATAATTTAAACTATTTAAGATCGACTATAATATAAGTAAAAATAAATGGAATTTGAATGAATTAACTAATATGTATAGGAGAAATTAAGATTAAGGCAAGAAAAAGTTCATGATGTTCTCATTATTTCTCAAAGACTTAGTAATAAGAAAAGGAAAATGAAGTGTTATCGACCAAATAAGTTTAGGTTTGAAAATTCTGCTTATCCCCAAGAAAAAGAGTTTTCATAATAAAGTATCATATTTATGGTAAGAAAGGACATATCAATAAGGATTTCAATAAATACTAGACAAAAATGAGATAAAACATTTACCTTTGTATATTTCGAATCAAACATTACTTAAGTCTCTTTTAATTCTTAGTAGATAGATTTTGGTATTTCAACCTATGCTATTAATAACTTACAAATATTTTTCTAATAAAAAAAACTAAAAGAAAATGAAAGATTTATTATTATTCAGAATTGTCTCAAAGTGGATGTAACACTAATAGAAACTTATCACTTACACCTTGAGACGAATCACTTGATGGATCAAATATACTTTCTGTGTTCTTTTAATTTTTATAGATTTAGTTTCTATTTATAAATTGGATAAATTTGAATGTACTCTTTCTCTTGATTCTAAAAATCTTAATATGTTTTATGATTTAATAAAAAATATACTTTGAATTCTATATGATACTTTATATAGAGTTAATTTGAATCCTAAGTTTAAAAAAATATGACAACTCTACAATTGGATATTGTAACGAAACATAGTTCATTAATAAAGATTCATCCATATTATGACATAGATGTTTGTTGGATAAATTAGAATATACTTTTCTCTTAATTCTAGAAAACTCAATAGGGGATTTTTGCGAATGTGCAAAATATTTCTAGTGTTTGGTAAACAAAAGATGAAAATTATATTTTAAATATGTGTTGAAGTAAGTGTTGTTTGGTAAAATTATATTTCAAAAATCTATTCAATATTTATGATAAATTTATCCTTCTAATATTTTTAATATATATATTTATTTAAACTAATAGGTAAATAAATAAATAAATATACTCTTATAAAAAAATTGTATGACCCAAATGTATAATATATAGAAATATAATCATATAAATAAATATAAAATAATCTTTAAAACTAAATAAATAAAATTTTATCTTATAAAAAATATAAATCATATTAATTTCTTGCTAAATTCTTTTGACAATCTTATAATTTTAGATGAAGTCATAAGGTATTTTTAAATTTTAAAAAATTATATTAGTATCATACAAATATATCGATATGATTTGAAAAAAATTACTAAACACGAATGCACATTTGAAATGTATATTGGACCTCTCAATACACATTTGAGATGAAGAAGGTACATTTCTAATATGCTCGAAATATACCTTTAAATTGTTACAAAATAATTCAATATTTTTATAATAATTTAAAATTATTTTTTTTAATATTTATTATTGTGATATTTGTTGGTCAAAGTATTGATGATTCGACAAAGGAATGCTTTATTGAACTTGGAACAATCGTGCTTATTTCCATCAAATTCATCATATGCTCAAAAATCAAATAATTTAATCATAATCGATGATTATTATACTTTATAAATGGAAAATAATTCTTGCCCTGTCCAAACTCCTCGTTTTGAGCCAATGGAAGTATTGACCACCAGTGAACGCATACACCGGAAGCCGAAAACACGCACTCATGGATCAGTACTTCGCTAGAAGTCAATTAGACGAAATCAAACATTATAATTCAACGGGTGGGTCCAATCTTGGATCCGTCGTGCACCACACTGGACCTCGGTTGGATTCGGGCCATCGAGAGTGATCGAACCTTGCTGTCATAAGGCAAGTGGGTTCGGGCGCGAATATTAAAGGGATTATTCCCAGTTACTGCACGCATCTCGGAGCACGATGGTGGTGTCGGATCATGGTTTGGAATGTATATGTCGGGCACGGTGGAGGATTCGTGTTCCGTTCGAAATAGGCGACATTAATAAAAACCAAGCCAGATCCCACAACGCCTGTGGGTCTCGCGGCACACCCCTTGGACTTGTGTCGCGGAAATGCTGTCTGCTGGGTCGAAAAAGGAAGCAGATCCGGAGCTTCCCCGTTCTTCTCTCTCGGATTCGGTTTTCGGGCCGCCAGCCTCGGATTCCCCCTCCGCTTCCCTTCCCTTCCCTGATGTAACCCACATGAAACCTGCCGCCTGGGTCCCACTGCTTCCCCGTGCGTCCTTCCCCTTCCCGCAGCTTCCTCGAGCGATACCTCCGCTACCCTCGTAACCCAATAACCGTACTCATGTGATGAATGGGTGGATTGCTGGGACCCGTGCGGAACCGCGTCTTCGACAAGGTGAAGCACGTGAGACTGTCGGTGGGTTTTTTAGTATCGTTTTCTCCTTTTTCTTTTCTTTGTTTTCTTTTCCTCTCCGACCCAAGCGCTTACTCTCCGGCGGGCGGGCTCTCCATTTGAATCCAAAGGCTGCGGAGAGCGAGAGGATCTTTCCGTCTCTTCTCACTCGCTCAGCTCCTGAGGGGCTCTTCCATGGCCACCGATCCTGGGATCCCCAAGGTGGAGGCGGTGGCGGTGGGAGGCGGCGAAGCGCCGTCGGAAGGCCGGAGGGAGAGCGATCCGCCGCGCCTGGAGCAGAAGAAGGCCAGGAAGGAGAGGGTGTGCACCGCCAAGGAGCGGATCAGCCGGATGCCACCTTGTGCTGCCGGCAAGAGGAGCTCCATCTACCGAGGAGTCACCAGGTAGATGTATAGGGTGGCCCCTGCGTTTCCCTGGATCGGCCCTTTGTGCGTAGGCCATACTGATGCTGGTTCGCTTCTTTTGGTTCGGGAGAACTGGGACGTGCTTAATGTGTTTGTTCAAATGCTCGAGAACGGTTTTGGCTTAATGCATGTTTTCCTTGTCTGTCTCTTTTAGACCCTAAATGTGATGAAAGATCCACGAACTAAAACTATAATATGCATGAAGAATCACATTCTGTGGGAAATTAAATAGTAAGAAGAATTCCTTTGTAAACATAACGTATGGTTGAAATACAGTACTCTGGAGCGTAATTCCTTGATTCGTGTTGTAAAGAAATCCTGTACTTGGGTTAGGATCTGGAATCTTCTAAATCATGCAAACTTGCATTAGATTTGGGGTTTGTATACTAGGAAAAACAAACTTTTGTTATCTTTCAAGTCTCTTTCCAATATACTACCTACCTAATCATGAGATTTGGATATAAACTCAAACTATGTGGGTGCTCCCTTCAACTAAGGATTCTTCTTTGTTTGTGTTTGTATGACCCTACACCTTCATTGTGGACATTATTACGATCTTCAAATTTGTAGGTGGATAGGTTTTGTGTCTCTTGTATGACAACATTGACAAGTATATAATAGTTATTTACTACAATTAATTTATAATTACTTTAATATTTTATAAATAAAATTTTAAATCTTTTGCATGAACTTTTGTTATTTATATTTCAGTTTCATATACTCTAAAATTAGATATCCTTATGGAGCATAAAGGCAAAATAGTTTTTTACCACATACTATTGTTGTCTTTGTTAGAATTCGTCTAATTATTTGCTACCTTTATGAATCTGTAATTTTTTGATTATATCTTTCTGGTCCTGATTTTCTTCTCTGTAGCTGATCCTGATTCTGATGTCGGTCTTGCAAACTAAGATTTGAAACTTATCATTGATATTTTAGGTTTCCTGTTCTTCTTTGGCTTTGTGATTCAACTATCTTCTTGGAACTAATTTAATATCTTTTGCACGTTGCCATTTTTGATACTTTCAATTAGTTAAATTATAGTTGTCTCATTTGGCTGATCTGAATTTTGTCATCACCTTAAGTCGTAGTTATTATTCTTTTCCTTTAAACTGCAGAACTTTTAAATCTGGGTAGATTATATGATGGTATTATATCCAATTTTTGCCATTTTTTTTTCTTGTTTGCTTTTCAATTTCCCAAATTCAGTTATCTCATTGCATTTTCTACCTTCTCAAATAATAGGCATAGGTGGACAGGCCGGTATGAGGCTCATCTTTGGGATAAAAGTACTTGGAACCAAAACCAAAATAAGAAAGGAAAACAAGGTAAGTGCGACAATTCTCATAATAGACATTTGGAAAATGTACGACTTTGAAATTAGACCCCAGTTGTTATCCTTTTTTTCCATCAACAATGGTGATCAAGGGATGGTGCCTCTGAAGCACGGTTTCTTTTGTATATTTGTCTTCCATGAATGTGATATATCAAAATGCAAGGATGAATATGTCATCTTATTACTTGTTGTCAGCTAACTCAAATTTTTTTGATTTGCATGGAATTTGTTGGCACATGAACTGTATCTCCAGTATATTTAGGTACGCAGCAGGTTTTTCAGTAATCAGTAACTATCTTCCTTCTTGTTGTTTCATCATTTTGGAAGTTCATTTAGTTAATTCTCCCTGTATGTTAATTCTTCTCAGGTGCTTATGACGATGAGGAAGCTGCTGCTAGGGCATATGATCTTGCTGCTTTAAAATACTGGGGTGCTGGGACACTTATTAATTTTCCCGTGAGAACTATATAAATCTGTAACATGGCTATTGGCTGTTGCTTTAGTTTAAGGTCAACTTTTTGGTCTCCCCTTGTGGATATAACTCAGTTATAACGTGTAGCTTGAAGATCATTAACAAGTTCTGGTGGAACTTGTTTTTGTTATAAATGGTTGATGAATTGCCTACGCAATTCATTAACAAGTGTCATGCGTATGCAATGAACAATGCCATGTCTTAGCACACATGTAAACAAAAGTTCACATACATTATCAAGGTGAATTGTATGCTAAAGTATAGGGGCTGTCATTTTCTAACTATGTTATTTTCAATTGCTTCCTGGTAAAAACTAATATTTAAAATAGACTTGTTAGCCTATTTAGGATGAATATAGCATTTGATTGCATGGATGTATTTCTAGTGTGTTGATACAAATTGAATCTAAGACATTCAACATGTTATATATGGAATGGAAATCCATGAACATGAAGTTCTGCAAGCTAAGTATATTTGTAAAATCAAATGAAGTTTGAGTTTTAAGGAATTGTGAGAATTATTTGAATACATGAACTAAAACTTCAGTTTGTTTCCCTTTAATTACGTGTTAATAAAAATGAGGTCACTTGTGCTCATGGTAATGAATTACATTGGTACAATGCTATTTGTGTTAGAAAATATTCATGTGTGTGAGATACAGATTGAAAAAAGACCAAGAGAATAACCCCAAATTACTAAGTATTAGAAAAGTTGTTGACATTTATTGGCTTTGACCAAAAACTTAACAAGCATAAGGTTTTAGGTTGAACTGACAAATCACATGTATATTAACTTGACTAGTTTGACTCAGACTCATCATCGTCGATTTTAATATGGTATTGGAGCCAAGGTTCGTAATAAAATAAATGAGTGAGTAAAAAAAAAAGAAGTAAAGAAGGCTAAATTTTGGTTGCAACTCGGTGAAAAAGAAGAAATAGGTCCAAACCATAGTTTGACCTATCCTTATGAATAAGGAAAAGACGATTGAGCCACACGTGAATAGAAAAAGATGTTAAGAAATATTCATGTGTGTGCTAGAGATTGCTAGAGGACTAAGAGAACGGTTCCACATTTCTATGAATTGAAAGAGTCTGATGACATATATTGGGTTTGACCCTTAACTGAAAAAGCTTAAATTTATATATTGACCTGGTGTCAAATCGCATGTATGTTAACCTTGACTAGTTTACTTAGATTCATCATCATTGATTTTAACATGATATCAGAGTATGTCATGAGTTCGAATTCGTCTCTTTCCCAGTGTCTAATTAAAAACAGTTGTGAAAGTACCCATTCATCATTTGAGCTTGCATCATACACGATTTCGTTCACATGTCAAGCCTAAACCTACTTGCTTTTGAGAGGGGATGTTAAAGAATATATTGGGTCATTTCCTAACAGCTTAAGCATTTGAGATTTATGGTCACCCAAACAAATCTTTAATAATTTGGTCCATGACAAGGTCTAAAACAAGTCTATACTTTAACTATGAAATCCTATGTGCTAAACACATTAACACAATATGGATGCACTATAAGCTCAATATACGTGAAATAGATTTTTGGTAAATATAGAGATTATACTCCTGTCTCCCATCGATACCATTGATGCTTAGATTTGAATCACTAACATCTTGCTGCTATGTGAGTTTGGTGCATGTTGAACATTATGGTATATCTATATGCTAATTGTCTAAGAATATTGAACCAGTAGGTTTGATACTTCTGTTTAGTTTAGTATCTGTCAGCAAATTAGCTTATTATGATCAGGGAGAGCATGTGAAGCTTTAGTTGTGTGAGGAGCTTTTAACTGATTTTTGACACATAGCTAAATATGGTTTTAAAGCTAGGATACTGGTCAGTTGCAATGCTTTCTACATGTGGAATTCTTTTCTTCACAGGCTATTGGGATTTTGTGGTACTTGATGACATTGACATGCCAAAGTTACCTATTTACCATTTCTAATCTTGAGCTTATTTGGTGATCCTATTCAGAATTATTCCTTTAATCACACAGCTTTTTCTAATATTGTGCAGGTCACGGATTATGCAAGAGATCTTGAAGAGATGCAGATGGTTTCAAAGGAAGATTATCTCGTGTCTTTAAGAAGGCATGGACAGCTTTAGCAATTTGGTGTTTGGATTCTTTCGTCCCCCTTTTTCTTTGCATCCTTCTTCATGTTTTTCTTTTATGAGTTGGCACGAGTAGAGGCCATCAGTAGTTTCGATGACAAACTCCTGCTTAAAAGAGCTATAATTGGAGGAAAACTAGGTCATCTTAAAACATTCTCTAACACAATCATTTTTCTCTTTTACAGAAAAAGCAGTGCATTTTCGAGAGGATTTCCAAAATATCGTGGGCTTTCGAGGTATGTGTTGATTATGGTCTGTATTGCAACCTTTTTATGTTAAGCACAACTTGGAGCTCACTTGCGTGAGTGGACCTTTCATGTTGAATAATTCAGGATTGTGAAGTGATCACATAACTTATGGATATTTGTTGGGCTGTGTTCATGGGGTTATATAGTGTGCATGCAATAAACACAATAATATACCAATATGTACTGTGGTGGGTGTAGTTTTTCTTTTCTTTCTCTATCCTTGAAAATTATTTCGGACGATTTTTATTTGACCAAGTTCATATACTATTTAAAATTTCCAAAGTGAAACCCTAAATCAAGTTGGTCTGGTGTTTTGATTTTTTGAACTGAACAACAAAGGCAGATAATTGGCCATGATACTAGAACACAAGGGTAATTTTGTATATTATTTTTTTCTAATTACCAGTTTGTATGAACTGATATGTGCATCATGGTCTCATCAGCTATAATCCTGGATGTTGAATCAACTATCACTTAGTGACAAATATGTTTCACTTCAAATGTAGAAGCAACATAAGCATTATAGAGAAACCAATAATCATAGATCACTTCTTTAAATGGTTTATATATCAATGTCCATACCTACTTTGAGGCCGATAGTTATTTCCTTTTGTTTGGAAATAGTTTGCTTTTGATGAGTTCTCATGATCACCAGATGATATTGATTAATAAATTATTTAGTAACAAAGTCACCTAAGCAAAGATCCCCATGATCTTTTTCTAAATTAAAATTTACAATTAGGTTATAAAATTAGGTGGAGTGATGGTGTGCTGAATCCTAATCTAATCTGGCTGACATGGATTGCTGATATTGACACTGATTCTGTTAAATGGTTCAGGAAAATCAAACATGAAAGTTATTAATATGCACAGGCTTGCTCCTAAACTGAAGATCACAAGAAGTCTATCATGTTAGGATGACCTGCCTTGACCTTTATAAGTATTGGATTAATCTTTACTCTTTCTTTTTTCTATAACTACTAAGTCCACTCTAACCACATATAGAATTGTTTCATCTTTATGACAAGCAATTATCTCAAGCTGATTGATGTAAATTATATAGTTGTAATTTTGCATAACAAATTGACTATATTCAGTTGGGGTTCTAATATTTATGTAAATAGAGTGTTTCATGAATAAACCATAATAGGTGCAAACTTCCCAAAGATGGCATTCTGGTGTTTGGTGAGGACCTGAGATAGCTTAACCAGAGTTGCAAACCATAAAAACTGGTAGAACTTGATTGGGTGATGACTGAATCCAAGTTATAAAAATGTAATCGATCAGATTGCCTGAGTTCAGGTCAACATTTACTATTAAGACAACTAGGCTAGGCACAAAACCTGTTGCTAAACTGCCAATACCCCAGTTCTCTTCATCCGTACCTGTCCCGTATAGCATTTCCCATATGACTAGGAGTGCATAGAGTTGGAAGCACATTTGGCAAACAAGAACTTAGGTGCCTTGTGCCATGAAATGTGCTGTGCAGCTACTGGCACAAAATTTACTGCTATGTATTTTTATGTTCGTTTTTCAAGCTTGCCTAGCATGCACTGAAGAAATGTTTTATGGTAACACTGCATGTGTGCCAACCAAGTAGTTCTTCAGGTCAATGCATCTCATGCTGAATCCATGGTTGGGAAATTGCTTGAATATATGAATATAATCAAAGCTTTCGTATGATCATGTTTTTACAAAATTTCTTTTATTAGTTGATCTCATCATTTCACTCAAGACTTCATGTCCCAGCTTGTTAGGTATCTGGATCCATGATTTTTTAGTATTGGACTATTAATTTTCTTGCACCTCTAGAGTTATAGTGACTGATAGATATGCAGGATTTACCTTATCAGATAACTAGATATCCCAGTTAAACCACTCTATCGGGACTATTGCTGGGGTCTTTTGCTGAGAAACTGTGACCAGCAGGTTAGGTTTATATCCCAAAAATCTTACCTAGATATTGAGGCTCAACCATATCTAACCATGGTAGATGCTTATTTTTATCTGCCAAACTCAACCTTAATTAATTCAACCTATGGCCAATTACTTATTCTAAGTGACTACATATTTAATTGTATAAACAGTTGACTTAGAAAGGAAGTACTTGTTGTCTTGTGATTTTATTTAAAAATGTCTTTTACTTTTTAGTATTATTCTTTATATAGTTAATTTTAATGATTTTTTTTTTTTGACTCAGACAACCTCAAAATAATCGGTGGGAAACACCTTTCAGACAGATGCCAGGGGATGAGTATTTCAACAATTGCAGTAAGTGCACAAACAAAACCTACTTGAAACTCGAAAAGCTTGTCAAAGCTAAACTCCAATGTATTGAATTGTTGGATGGATTAACTAGATTTCTCGCATGTAAGGTACAAGCAGCGATGCAGCTACTGATGGAAGATTTGCTGGTATTGCTGGCTTGGAGAGGAAAGTAGACCTGACAAGTTATATCAAGTGGTGGATGCCCAAGAAGGCTCGTCAACCTGAATCAGCCTCTCCTGTAGAAGATGTTGGTCGTGAACTTCGAATGTTAGAATGCTCAGTGCAGCCAACAGAGCCATATAAGCTGCCTTCTCTTGGCCTTCCTGGTAGAGGTGATGCTCCACAAAGGTTGTCTGCATGTAGCATCTTATCTCGCTCTGACTCCTTCAAGAGTTTCCTGCACAAGTCATTGAATTCAGGAGATATCAAGGATGATGGTTCGCACAAAACGATGGACCACGAAAAGTCCGTTCCCCTGTTGTATTCTGGTTGCGGCCTTGGTATATCCGGAGTAAGCGTAGCATTAAATGAATTGCCTGTACCAAGAACAGCATACCAGATGGCTCTTCTTTCTGCACCACTGAGGAGTAGCTATCCAATCGACCCAGCATCGGAACCCCTACTGTGGACAAGTCCACCACCATCTCAACAACCTTTGGGAGAACCAGTTGTGTCTTCATCTGCATCATTTGATCATTAACCTGCTGAAAACTCTTTTGTCTACTTTGCCCTAATATTTGGTTCTTTTTCTTCCTCCTGTTGCAGCAGCTTAGGAAGAATGAAATGACTAGCTCTGCATATGCATACCAATGCCAGGACTGAGGCATATCAAGTTCTATGAAGGCATATCCAACGTTAGAAAGAGCTGTGGACACTGTGGTCTGAATGCGGTAGCACGTTATAGTGATTGTCCTTTTGATGGTAAGCGTCAGCCACAAATATTGGTCATATTCTGTCTATATATAGCAACATCATATGTTAATATGAGCTGCTTCTTGAATGGAGGTTTTGAGGTATCCCAGTTGACATGGCAGACTTTTTTTGTAGTAGACAGATCTACTCTCCTGGGGTACTAAGAATAAGCTACAAGAGCCAATCAGTTATTACTTACATGGTACGTGTGCTTTTACCTCCTAGGACTTGAGATTTGACTTGTTACGAGAATAATTTCCATTGAAATTGTAGTTGACGTGAAACAATTATGATATTTAGAGTGGTGTTCCATATATTTCGTCCCTGTTTCAGAATTCCAACTCCTTTCCCCTCAACCTGACATCTTCTCAAATGGTTTTGTTGTATTATCATCAAGCCAGTTGGTGTTTGTGGACTGTCTATTTTCTGGGTGATCTTTCAAGTACATATATTCTTTGGCAGCAAGATAATCTTTAATGGTTTAAAATTGGGTACTGGATCCATATTGATCCTTTTGTCTAATCGGAACAGGTTCAGCATATACTGGCATACAATAGCATGGTATGCCCATATAATGGTCAGTACTAACAAGGCTGGAGTAGGAAGGGAAGAGAAGAGAAGAGAAGAAAAGAGAGAGAGAGAAGCCACGTAGGAGGTGGATTGTTGAGGTACTAACCACTGAATCGATATGTACCGGTCTGGATGGTGTTATAAATCATGATTTTGACTAGGAAATTAGATGGGATATTCTCTCAATTATTTCTCTTTTTCTATCTACAATCATGTAGAGTTAGGATTTTTAAGCTTATCCGAGCATCCATCCTCTAAGCCGATTTGAACTGCATTTATTATATTAGTAATTGATTTTGGCAAATCTTTCTCCTATAAGATGGAGTCTAACTAAATAAGCATTAGATTCTGCCATGTCGTTTGTAGCACATGGATATGAGATTGAAGTGATTGCCAAGATTATTGGATGAGATTCTTTGATTGAGGCTGCCACATTGGACGTTTCAAATATTTTTACTCGAGATGAATACATCATGCACTAACTTTGACTAAGGATCTCACATGCTTTGACCAAGAAGGTTGTGTTGATCCTTTAGATGTTTCTATTCAATGTGAGTGCATTGTCACAAAGCTAAGAGATGTCTTTACCACATCGAATGCTCCAAATGTTTTAACCGGAGAGGATTTGACTAAGGACGTCACATGCTTTGACCAATAAGGTTGTGTTGATCCTTTAGATGTTTCTATTCAATATTTGTGCATTGAAAGATAAGAGATGTGTTTACCAAAAAGGTCACATCGGATACTCCAAATGTTTTAACCGGAGAGGATTTGACTAAGGAGGAAGGTTGTGTTGATCCTTTCGATGTTTCAAGCTAAGAGATGTGTTTACCAAAAAGGTCACATCGGATGCTCCAAATGCTTTGACGGGAGAGGATTTGACGAAGTAGGAAGGTTGTGTTGATCCTTTAGATGTTTCTATTCAATATTTGTGCATTGAAAGCTAAGAAATGTGTTTACCGAAAAGATCATATCTGACTCCAAATGTTCTTCCGGGGGAGAGGAATGCATCGAACGTTAACACGCTTGGGATAAGATATTGCATTCAACCCCAAGTTGACCTTGTCATCGATTCAATGCACATATTTACCTAAGCATACATGATCCATATGTATCAAACACAAAACATGTACGCACGACGACTATATGCTTGAGCAGCCATACTCGGGATGATTGCTAGAAATAAAAGAATGCCTACCAACTCCCAAACTTACCCAAGCAAACAAATGTTGCTCACCAACAAAAAAACCAAAGGAAGACCGCTCCCGACATGACTGCAAATCCACGAGGAACCAAAAAATTGGAGAGGAAAGATAGCACACAAGCAAACACATCGTTAAGCTGGATAAGATCCATGGCACCAGGCCGGGAAAGCTTAGAAGAGATCCACCTTTCTTTTCTGCATGTCCTGTTTCCATTTGGGTTGTCGATAAAATGCTTCTTTGGTCATGCCTAGAACCTTCTGGAACTCGGCTTCTGATAAGTAGGCCAGCAAATGAAGAAGTTAGCGGCTGAGGGCCATTCAAGTTGGAAGAATTTTGATTGACAAACCTCTCTTTGTTTATAGTCAATTCCTCTGACTGGATTGGTGGACTTCGCTTTCAGACGATCATAGCTGAAGGTAGTTTCACCCCCATTTTCAGCTGTCTCTGGTTCCCTGTGGCACCTCAGAATCTGCTCCATTGCTCTCTGATACGGAGCTATCTGCTTCTGTGATTTCCTTCTCTGCTGAAACCTCAAAAGGATCACCCAACTGCGAGCCTGCACTTTCAATCTTTGCAGAATCTGCAATAGGTAACGAAATTAAAGTTCCTAAAGTAGGATATCTTGACTGAACAACAATTTTTGGCATGAAAGAGGTGTAGATGTATAGACCAAGGTTTTTAATCTCATACCATATTGGCATATCGAGCTTTGCTCGATACGGTACGGTACCGATGTACTAAGCAATATGCTTAAAATAGACATAAAACATTTCGAAAATATCTAAAAAATAGAAAAAAAGTTAAGATAAGTTTTTTAAGTTAGAAATAAATATATATTTAGTATAATTTTAGTAAAACTAATGTAAATTAGGTAAGAATAGTGCCATATATCTTTTTTGGACTTTGATGAGTAGCCTTATGCAAGGTTCGTAATTTTAGTCTGTTCGGATCGTCCTTCCGTTAATATTGAATTATCTACCGAAAAATTATTTGAATTGTTAGATTATTTTGTATACAACTTAAACTTTAAGATTCAAATAAATTAAGTAATCACATGTATAGATATACCTGATTCTACCACCAAAATGAACGACGGGTTATATATTTGTTGAGTTTGATTTAATCCACAAATCATTACTTTGTTGAGTTTGGGAGAGTGAAAATGTGAGAATAAGAGAGAGATTATGAGTAAAAATGAGTTTGAGAGAGTTTAAGAGAGTATAAGAGTGGAATGAATTGAAAGAGGAGGGAGGAAAGGGTTTAAAAACCCTTTAGGATGCCTCCAATAATTAAATTAACCGTTTGAAAACCGTTATCAATCAATAACAGTCGGTTTCGATCGTTATCGCCCAGTTTAGGTCTTTTCCCATATCGCTTGATATAGGGCCAAAAATCTGATATCGCCCGGTAGCGGGCAGTCCGTGTGTCGGTTTGTTGGCAGACCGATATGTACCACCCGGTAGCAGGCAGTCTGCATGCCGATCTGTTAGCAAATCGGTACATACTGACCGATATTGAGCGGTCCACGTGCTGGTCTGCTGGCGGACCAATACGTATTGCTCGACCAGGCGGTATGATATGAAATTAAAAACCTTAGTACAGACATCACCCATAGTGAGACTCAGACAAGGGTCCCCCAACTAATATTTATCCATGAATCAATGTCATACACTCGTGTAGAAAGCTATTATCCCTTCGAGCCATTTGCTACTCTTCTATAGGGATCACTTAGAAAACAAATAGCAATCAAATCCAACCAATCTTTTAAGAGATATGGGATATCAGAGCTATTTCATGGGGGTGCACTAGCAAATTCTAGATGAAATATTGAAGGCAAAAGGATTATTCACATGACAAATCTCTTAGACAATCTCCACAACAGAAAGGTCAAAAAATAAATCTCTATACAGCTAAAATAGTGATAAAATAGAAAACCAGAAGGAAACAAATGAAAACAAAGATCAGAATAAAGTTAATATGCTTTAAATAAAAAATGACATTTCAATAATGTTCTACTAGTTAACCATCCAAAGGACAAAAAAGTACTGGTGAGGAATTTTATGAGAGTGAAGTAGAACAAAAAAAAGAAAGGATCAGAATAACATATTGAGGAAAAGAGAATTAAGGGAAAAAAAATTCATTCTCTACTGCTAAATTTCTAAATTTTCAGCATAATGTTAGGATGTCACTAAAAAAAATGAGTAGATAAGAAGTTAATATATGGGGACTTCAGATTTTTTCATAAATAGAGTCTGTGTGTTCAGGCATTAGGTATACAAACAAACTTGGGTTGACATTATCAAGGTAGTTAAAGATGGTAAAATATTAAGAATATTAGAATATCAGGTTAAAAGATGCTGATGAGAATGAGAATCAACCATACACAAATTGCCTGAAGTGAGAAGTCCTTTCAAAATGGACCATGAGTTATGATTTATGATACTCAAGGAACTAAATTGACAACGAGAATAGGAATCACTCCCTCCATGCAAAATGCTCAAAATGACAGGTCTCTTCAGAGTGTACCATAAGTTGAAAATTATGACACCCGAGGAACCATTGGATAATAATGCAACAATTGTCTTAGCCTGGCAAAAAAGAGTTTATTAAGAATCTTAGTCTTAAGTCTTAACCTTGTTGAACAAAGTCTAGGATGGTAATTTGCCTATTAATTGAACCTGGCAGTTGGCACCAATGAAGTCATACCATGGAGTATGTGTAAAAGAAAAAGAATAAAAACTGTGGATACAGATATGTCATAAAATTGAATTCCAGTCCAGATCATTTCTCATAGGATGGATTCACCACATAACAAATTTTATCATGACTCAAACATGCCAAGAAAAGAAGAATTTTTCTTTTCCTTCCTCAACAACGGTTTGCTCATTGCCAATTACCCGAATACTATCCTTTCCCATCCAACAGGCCAAAAAGTAGTCCTCTTTCTTCTCACTAGAATGATATGTGTAAAGCATGATATAGCAATCACCACTATAAAATTCACCAATCTCTTCCTTAGGAACTGGGTTCTTGGCGCTACCATATTAATACGCCAAACCTGAGAGAGTTTTTACAGTTAGAATTCAAGAGAAACAAGAATCATCTAGCTTTGCATGGACTCCATGGAGTATCTACGGGCTAAAGAAAATGAAAAGTAACCTCAAGTTTTCCACTGCCTTCAAGCAAAGAAGGAACTTCCTCACTTATTGGAGAGCCTTTTGAAATTCCTTTAAGATCAACGCCTTGTTGCTTTAACAAAGCTGGAAAACATTAAATGATGAAAAATATCAAAAATGAATAAAAAACATAATTTATCACTGCTATAGTCATAGGTGCCCAATAAACCAATCATGCTTATTATATTTTGGCATTTATCACTTTATATTAACTATTGCATATATGCATATATATATTGTGATGTCATTGGATCTGTGCAATGAGAATCAGATCGTGATGAGATTACGATAATGAGATCGATTCACCTTTAAACACAGATCCTAAATAATCCCGGTCATAGGTTATTCGAGAGGGACATCGTGATAATCGGACAGACTGGTGTGCTGTATACCCGTCCATATGATGGATGCAGCTGGTCTCATAGCTGCTCGTGTGGGGACACTAAGGATACAATATAGGTGCTTATTGGAGAATGAGTTCACTGATTGATCCTCTTACGGAATGCTGGATGGTTGATGATACCTTATTGTTAGACAGCGATTCCGTAGTCCTAGTGGTGTATCTGGTCCTTAGACTTGAGACACCAAGGATGTCCTGTATAAGTGCTTCACTCTTTGATACCAGACTTATAGGTTTGGGTGTCCCAGATCTAGTACAGTTGGTCATTGGGAGTGACAATCGACCTTACGAGGGCTATTGAGTGTCGATAGAGGATCATCCACTCTCGCCATCATGAGAGGAATATCCCATGTGTTCTTGCTTAGACAAATCCCTAGTCAGGGTCATTCGAATTGAGAGAGAAAGAGTTCTCCGGGAGAATCCGATTAGAGCGAGACTCGAGAAGAAACCGTATGGGTCTGACAGTATCATGCCCGATATATGGTCTTTGGGATATTAAATGGATGAGGGACTATATGTATACAGTAACTGAGGACAAACAGGTCCAATGGATTGGATTCTCCTACGACGTAGTGGCCTAGTACGTCTGTAGTCGATGAGTCGAGTGAATTATTATAGAGAAAATAATTCATTAAGTTAGAAGGAGTTCTGATATGTATGACTCATGACCAGCTCGATATTAGGCCTTGAGGGTCACACACATATGGTAGGCATTGCGATGAGTAGAGGTTCGGATATGAGATATCCGTCGGAGCCCCTATCTTATTGAATATCCAATAAGCCCCTGAATTATTGGATCCTATGAATGAGATCCAATAAAAGCCAATGACAGATTATTACATAGGGATCCACTAATCTAAGAGGCTTGGGTAATTAGATGTAGATCCAATAGCCAATAGGGAAGGATCCATTAGGGTTTGATAGGGGACCTCTATAAATAGGAGGGATTCAGAGCCTCATAGGCTAGAGCCTTTGCTTGTCTCTCCTATTCACCTCCCCCTCTCCATCTCAGAGCAGGCCTGGAGTTTTGACAAGCGTCGTCGCAACACTACTGTGTGGATCACCGCTAGAAAGGAGGACGTTTGACCTCCTTCACCCTCTCCTAGAGATCTGCAAGGAAACAGGGATATACGATCTCCCTAGGTAACACAATCTATTCTATACGTAGTTTGTTTCACGGATTTTACGCACCAATCTTCGTATGACGACGAACATCTCCTTGGGAAATTGAGGATTTTATTTTCTTGTTCTTCCGCTGCGCATGTGATGTCGCCCCAAGATTTTCCTACAATCACTTCACTGAAAAAAAAAAAAAAATGCTAGTACCAGCAACTTTTCCTCGTCCTCCCTCTCCACTAGAAGTTCCTGTTCCTGTACCAGCTGGCCATGATTCAAAGTTGGACTTGAATGAATGTGTTTCATAATTTTGGATAATTTGAGTGATGCGTGTAGTTTTTGGTATGTTTTGATTGATGATGAAGTCCTAAAGAATATTTAAGGCACTTAAGAGCACCTATGTTGAGAACACAAATCCAGAAATTATTAAAAATGAAGATGAAAAATCCTACCTCAGCAGCTTTGCTGGCAGCTTTTCTTTCTTCAACTTGTGTCACCCGACCAACCCAAATGAATATCTCAGCCCCACAATCAAGTAGATAGCATTTATAGTTCTCCAACATTGCTTTAGAAAGTGTGTTCTCTTCCAACTTCAACTAACTATCATTAATGCTACAAAAGTACTTCTATATTTTAAATTAATTGCAAAAAATATTCTTAAGTCTAGGTAAGCATTGATGAACAATTACATGCACAGTGGTACAAGATATACAACAACCATGACAACTAGTTGTAATGTCCATCTTTTTGCCATTGAGTTTTATCTAAGATAATATCCTTAGTTAAATCAAGTGCATTCAAATATTTATTTATAGTTTTTAATAAAGTCTATTTAGGTTCTCTCTACCTCTCCTTGTACTACTAATATTAGTTATCTCCCCTTATTTAACCACAACATTTATATATATGCCTATACTATCTTAAATCATTCTTTCTCATTTTATCCTATATCCTATAAAGAATGACCTTATTAAAACTGGTATTTAGACTTTATTAAAAACCTAAGTAGCCTATGCTCTGGACCAATTACTTGTATTTACTGGTCGGACCAGAAAACATGATGTGAATTGGCTGATTTCCCTTTATAGATATCACTTATATCATTTTATCTAAATACCAGTTTTTAATAAATTCTACTTAGGTTTCTCTCTACCTCTCTATGCTTTTCTAATAAGTAAACTGATTCTCAAATGTGCATAACTGTTCATCCTTAAATTTGATTATTATCTTAATCAGATTAGAAATTTTATTGTGGTTGCATAATATGAGATATTTTCCCTAGAATTATGTCATTTTTGTTTCTAAAACTCATATGGGATCATTTGCAATAAGATTCCCTTTATTTGGTAACCTTATATCTCTCAGTTGCACATCATCTGATTTCATTACATGTATTGCATAGAGGACATTCTCCAAAAGGCCTACATATAAAAAAGGTAGAATTTGAACTCATAAAGATCACCATGGACAAAAAAACCAAGAGAGGTTACTTTCCATCTACCTCGTAGTGATAATGATATAAAAAAGACAGAATTCTCAAGGCTCTAAAGATAATACGATAGAAGCGAAGACACCAAATTTCATGGAATAATAGCTTGCATATTTCCAAGAAACTACAAGTAAAAAGAATAATGGATGATATGAGACGAGTGCACGCATGCACAGGAGAGGAAGCAAGAGAGAGAGAGAGAGAGAGAGATGACAGAAGCTTAAACTTGAATGTGAAAGAAAAACATAAACTAATCGATCCAAATAAGACTCCAAAGAGTAACTATTGATCACTAGAAGAGTTCACTGAACTTATACTAAGTAGGCAGCTAATGAGTAAAACATACATAATCAAGGAAAAGTAAGATATTTAGATCATCTTTGTAAGAACTTTCAAAAAATAAATATATTGACTAAACAGAAAATTGTAATGTTGATATGATCAAAACCACATTCATGTACCCTTGTCCAGTTTCTACTAAACAATCATTATCACGAAGAAGGCACAGGTACTTCCTGTTCCACTAAATAGTAAATATAGTCCTGCAGAGACTTGACCATGTGAAAAGCAATATTCAAAAATATGGAAACTAGAAGAACAATTGTATAACAGAATCATTGCATAAAACACAGTAGGAAAAACAACAGAGTTCTAAAAAAATACCTATAGAGTTTTGCAGGACCGGCTTCCAGAATGATGTCATCTTCACTGACTACTTTTTTGCCAATTGGTGCAAAGCCACCAAAAAGAACCCAGAATTCACCGGAGTCTGACTCAGCTTGGAGCTTTCCATCATCTTACACAATGCAAAATATAACAACAATAAGATTCAATGTGCAAACATGTAAAGAATATTATCCAATAGAACTAAGTATTCTCACCAATGATAGCAACATCACATGTTCCTTCATGGTACTTGTCCTTCAAATATTGTATTACTTCTAAAACTTTAGCTCTTTCTTGGATATTAGAGTTAGCACCATTGAACTGATATATTTTCTTTTCAGTATCCAAGATAAACACATCATCATGATTCAGAGATGACCGAGCAAATGGAACCTTCAAAAGTAAATTCATAAGTCATGACATGCATGCAACAGACAACCTTGCACATCCAAAGTCCACAAAAATTCATGGAAACGATTTAACACCTGCTTCATTCTGACAACTCGTTTTCCTTTACAAACATATAATCGTGTTTCAAACTTTTCCTCTTCAGGCTTTTTAAATCCAGATGCAAATCCTCCTTCCAAAGGTATAATGCAAGGTTTAAAGAATGACAAAAACTTGTCAGATTCAAAGCCTTGAAGTTCCCTGTGCTGGACAGCATGACCTCCAAGAACTGCACCAAGTTCAACTGTTTTGATTGCTGCAGTCCCGGCTTCATCCTGTGATCACCCATAAACTACATAAGCAATTTGAAAATATATCATTCTTAGTTTTTTTCTTACGAAAAGATATATCTTTTTCCAATATAAGTAGGTATAATTGGCATACTTGGCTTGACTCCCTTCCAATCCAGAAATGAATATCATAGAGGTAGCCACTACTTTTGCCTGAAGATGTCTGCAACAATTAATCACAAAAATATGAAGCAAGGTGCAGAAATCCATATATAGAGGAATCTTGCATGTTCATATTTGCATGGACATTATAGAAGATCCTTAAGCGATCAGCACTAAAGGAAGCTCAATGCTGGTATAAAAAGCCATGTTTCCAAATGTAAAGCAATATTTCTAACCAATTCGTGATAGTGCCATGAGCAAGAATATAATGCCGTTGCAAAAGAACATAGAATATCAAATGCCACGTCACTTCTGATTTAACTGAAAAGCTACTAGACAATGTAGGAAAGATGACGAATTACCACAACTTCTTGGCATGCCCCATTTGTTGCACAGATTTTTGGCTTGTAGGCCAGTAGAGGAATTCAGGACTCAAACCTGAAACAACTTAGTAATTGTTCAGTTAAAACCTAGGATGTTAGAGGTTGATATAATCAGAAAGCAGCAGTTATGATGCTGTTATTTCTTTACTTGGTAGCTGTTCAGTTCAATTCTAGGATGCTAGAGGTTCATATAATCAGAAAGCAGCAGTTGCAGAACTTAATAATCAATAACAGAAAAAAGTTAAAAAAGAGAGAAGCTCGAGAATGAGGAAAGGGAAGGAGAGTCGACAAGAAAACCACTTGCAACAGAGATACCAAATTGCTTCCAAGAAAAAGGTAGGGAAGGGTTTCTACAGAAAAACATTTTTCTATGAAAGTTAATATAAGTTGTCCGGACAGGTAGAAAAGGAACCCTTTTTTATGTATCAATGCAAGAAAATGTGAAATCTAATCACTTTCTGAAAAGACACAACAAGAAGTCATAGAAACGAGAACTTAGATAATTTTCCTTTATATTATTTCATTGAATTAGTCCGAAACAGAACTTTTACCAAAAATATGGATATTAGTCTTACAAACCTTTTTAGTTTACCAATTAAACAAACATCAAACCATGGACTAACCAAGGGAAAAGATTTCCCATTAAGTTTCCTGTGCAACCACACATGCTTATGTTCTTTAGCATAAGGCATTTGTAACCCGAGTCTCAAGCAAACTCAACTGTAAGTGCAACCATGAATCATCATAAAGGGCTTGTTTTCATAACTCAAATTAGAACTCAAAAGACTCCCATAAACATAAAGAAAACATTCAGCTTGTCTCTTTTCCTGACTTAACCAATCAACTATGCATTTCGTCTAAACATAAGACTCCAGGAAATTCTCCAAGAAGAATAAAGTATCTGGATTCCAAAATTCATTTTCCTAATGTACAGATTGTGGCCTCATCTGTTTCAGGATGTATAGACTATAGACGATCAACTATGAAATATGTATAAGAATGTAGGATACTGATACCAAAAGGTAAGAATTCGTCCCTAGGATAGATCTTTGAAAAAGAAGGGATCCGAAAATGATCAGTTGCTTTATGAATTATGATGATAAAGAATAATATCTTAACAAGAATCCCTGATCTATTTATCATAAAAGATAACTTTTCATAGCTTCAACAATTTAGAGAACATAGCAACAACATAATAAATTAAGATCATTATTTTAGCCTCACTAATCATAAACTGATGCTTAATACAAATCACACTTGCATAATATATCAAATCATATATTCATTCATCTATAACAAAATACCAGCATTAAAAAGTTCTCCCAAGAAGCTTCCGTGAAGTAGTCTTTGAGTATTAATATTTTAAAAATTGAATATTCAAGAAATTAGCCAACAATATTCATGAACTGTCTTAAAAGTGCCAGACCTGACATATGTCGAATACAGATGCAAAAAATAATTTGAATTTTCATGTTGCATAGCATATCACAAGCCCCTTTAGCAAGAAATTTCAGCTAAAAATCCTAAATTAAGAAATCTGACCAAAATTCCTATCCACTTAATAGTACAAATTTAAGGGTTAATACATAAGGATGACTAATTAGAAACAACTGGACTCACAAGAAACTTGTTCCAATGATCCTCAACTAAGTCCAATGATCCTGATGCTATGAACCCCTTGTTGATCGTAAATATGATTTTGATTTTGACAACCTAGGTTATAAATAGCCAATGGTCCACATAAATTGTTATTTGTTGATCGCAGATCACACAAGCTACTTAGCCATGGGGCTCATAATCACACTTTACTTGGACCTGATGTAATTTTTTCCACAATCTATCCACCACATAGCAAACCAGCAGTCAAAGCAAGAATGGTACAGATTCAACTACCATATTCGGCTCATTCAATTCTTCGAATCAGACCTGTGCATCACATGCACACAAAGCTAAACTGACCATCATGTACTCCCACAATATTTGCAAAAGGACGGATTGAACATTTAAAACAAATTAGTAGATTCATTCAGGCAAAAGAAAAAAATATGTAATAATCTGGCACATCCTCTCATCTTTACCCCATCCCAGCCAGACAAATACAGAAACTCAAACACATGCTCTCCCTGCTAAGCTAGACTGGCACACTTTCAGCATCAAAACATGCCAAGAAGAGGAACACAAATTTTTTATCTGGTTAAAGAATCTTTATTTGAGATATCATAGTTCCTAGTCAATGGATTCAAAAATATTTAGTTAGACCCTATATTAAAAAAACATTATTATATGAAAGTGCAACATCGACATCTAGTACACAGAATATAATTTTTTATTACAAGCATGACCTATAATATTAAAAGTCAAAAGGCACTAGAGGATCTTGCATATGGCCCAAAAACTTTATAACTTTTAGGTGTGAGGGAGAAATCACAAATCCTTAGGAAAAAGAGAGAAAAATAGAGAAGACAAGAAAGATACCTGTAAAATTATGTATGAATCTCCAGAGTAAAATTTACCATTGTCAGACTTTGACAAAGGCACTGGTTGAAAATCCTCAATCAGCCAGATCTCTGTTCCTCTAATGTTATGTTAAGTAAATTCTGCAGAGAAAACTACAAAAGATAGCTAACAAACACTTCAAACAGTAATGGAAAAGGACTAAAGATTTTGCACAACTAGATCCTAGGATAACTTGTTTTTACAGAGCATTTCGCAACACATTATAAGGATACACTTTTTGTCCAACTCCCTGAAATGCAGGATCAACGTATTTTGCAGAATTGGACATTATGCACTTGGAAGGCCTTACAGGAAAGATGTATTTACAGTTACAGTATGCGCTTGAAATACTCAATTATGCAAGACAAGATTTTTCTGCAGATGAAATTAGCATAGTCAGTAATCAACAGGAACTATCAGCTTGTACCATTCAACATATGTCACAGATTCAATAATATAATCTCAACCAAGACAAGTAAAACAGTCTGTGAATTAAGTAGAAAATGCACATCAGCAAGTGATATAACATAGTTATATAATATTTTCACTTAATTGGAAGTTGACACATAAAGAACACAAAAAAGACAGTATCATTTATGTTTCTCATGAAAGATGATATCAAATAAAAAGAACTATCAAATTATCTGGGGAAACAACAAGGTTAAGCAGGTTTGATGAAGAAAATGGGCTTCTTTGATAGCATAAAGATCCCAGATAACTCAGGAACTATTTATGTCAACAATTGATGATGTGTAGTAACTATTGCAGAGAAGAAGCAGATGGATATTCCAGAAAGAAGAAAAGGTTGGAGTTGCATCTATAGTGATTAATTTAGATTTGGAATTGAATTACCTTGAGAAGAAAGAAAGCTATCTGTTCTACATAACTTATTTGAAAATTTTTGAAGTTCAAGGGGTTTAAGTCTTTGGATTTTGAGTTTCTTTTACTTGAGTAGTTATTACTTGTCAAAGATTCAGACCTACTGTTCAGACTGTCTGAGTCAAAATACTCCTACTATATCAGAGGAAGAGTTCTTGAATTGACTACAAGTGATTGTGCTTTAAAGCCAATTCTTGTACAACAAGAAAAATTCTAGAATCAGCCATAATAAATGCTTTGATCAAATAAGCTTTACTTTATGTAGAATTTTATGTCCTATCCTGCTTCCTCAACTTTTACTATTCATTAAATTAATAATAGAATCAGACATCTCTACGGTTTCCAAACAATAGATTCATAATGCCACAAAGATACTACTACTAAATTAAGTAGTTTCTTAATTCTTGATCAAGAAATGACAACCGCTACACCTACTAATGCCTCCTTATCAGAAATATATCAAATTACTAGACATAAAATATAAGAAATTTGTCAAAAGACCAACCAGCATGGCCTCAACAACAGAGACATGCTTTTCTCCATACAAAAGTTGGCAATTTAGTGAAAAAGCACCAAAGAAAGACTGGTTTATAACAAGCAATGAATAACTAGCCATACTGTTCCGAGTTTTGGAGCCACATTTACCAAAAAAACAGGCTGAACTATAAAGAAAGACAAGCAGCATTGTATGATCAAATTGAGTATTCGTATAAACAAGAGGAGAAAATTCTGTTTGCTAGTCAATCTGAATAAAAATTCCACTAATTAAACTCTAGATAAGTGTTCGATATGTCTTAATAGCTGAACCTTAGCTAGACCAAAAAAATGGCCAGAGTTACGGATCCAAAAACATGATTGCAGTAACTCAAAAGTTCCCCAAAAGATCCAGACTATAACAAGCAGGATGCTAAAGCACCAAGGAACACAAGAGGAAAACGTGTACTCAAAGATATATCCCAGAATTTGTGAGATCCGGTTCTCGCAAAACCGTAACCTGATTCCAAGTACAAGAAGTTGGACTCCAGACCAACGAGATGGCGGAGATCATGTAAACGAAAGATAGCAGAAGCGCAGGATCTGGGAAGGGCCGATCGGGTGTCCGAGACCAACCACGACGCAATCGACCCACCCGGAACCGAATCAGAGAGGGGAACGGAGGGAATGCCGGCGTGTCCAAGAAGTTCTGTGGGAGACGGGGGAAGGAAACGAGAAGGGGAAAGGGGAGACGAAGGCAAGCACGTTTGCGGAAGGAGCGAGGATTGTAAAAGTGAGTGAATGCCGCCGTCGCCGTCTCCCATCTCACCCCCATCGATCAGTAGCAGTCAAAAGATATTATAATTACAGTGCTGTCCGCGTCATATTTGTATGCATATCCTTCAAAAGTTTATATTGCACTTCATACGTATGGAATGAATTGTATTCTGTAGATACTTCATCTTATTGTAATGAATGTTATTTTCCTGCTATTAATTTGTTGAAAACATATTTCGGATAAATTCCTGATATTGGCCCTGTTGACCTTCATCCCAAGGAAAAAGAGTTGATCATAACAAAGCTTCCCTTCCATCCTCTCTACATGCCTACTATGCCAAACATCACTTTCGTCTCTTTCTTGAGTTATTTTGTTCCCTTAATTGAGCAACAATAAAGGGTAAAAGCAATAGATAGAGACATACTCCTTTAATGAGGGCGAAGGTGATTAGACAAAGACAAATGATTACGAGGGACATATTTTCTATAACGAGAAATATATAACAAAGGTGATAAGGAATGATGAAAGGCAAAAGCAACCACCAAAAGACCATCTCATAGTTTAGAAGATAAAGAGAACTCTTAAAAATAAATAAATAAAAAAACACTCCTTGGAATTTTTTTGGGTGAATTTGTCCAAATATTTTTTGCTTCCTTTTTTATGTTTTGTTGGAAAATCTAAATTGTAGTCAATGCCAACTCAAAGAGGTATACAATTAAATACAAGTCTTTAGAGAGACATCTAAACAAAAGTCTTTTTTTTTATGATAAAAGTGTTTTTATGATGTTCCTACCTGAACGGTGAACTTTTCATGTGACACTTCTCGTGAACTTTAAGTGAAGACATCCATGTGAAAGCAAGTGCAATCAGATTTGGTCCTATTTTTTAGAATGTTGAGCTAGACATATCAATCGAATGACAATAAGAGGGTGGCCAATTCAAATCCTTCAAATATGCATCTGAAATAATGCCACCCTAATCAATATAAGACCCATCTTATATATATATGTATATATATACATATATATATATATATGTATGTATATATATATACATACATATATATATGTATACATATATATATATATGT